ATAGAATTAAAATTCTTAATGGAAAACATTAATACTTACTCAGTTATTAATACTTAATCTTAACACATAAATAAATCAATAAACTTAAAACTACGACATAAGTTTTCTAACTAAAAAAAAAATATATTAAATTAAAAGAATAAAAGAGTAAGAATACGAACAAATAAAAAACTGATGCCGATAAATATAGCATAAAATAAAATTAATAAGTCATTATCTACTGTAACATAAATAGTCACAGTGTCATATTAATACTCGAAAACATGATATCTTTTGATTATATAGTTTTAAATTGTACTATATGTAATTTCTATAATTTCTTATTGTTTCCGTATGTTGAAAACTTAAAGCATCAAAGATGAGTAACATGCCGACTGATGGCAACGCAATTTTTATGCGACTATACTAAAATTCTACCCAGACAATTTATCTAAAAGACGTCATAAAGACATCATAAAAACTTTTTAGGACGTACATTGGGACCAAAAAATACCTAAAAAGCATTTTAAAGATATCTTCTAGATATTGCATGTTATCTAGATAACTTAAAATTTACATTCAACATATTATCTTACTATATCGTACGTCGGGTAATGATCTTCTGAAGATTATACAAAGCTCAATATGGAATATTGAAATCCATTTCTGTCTATAATATCTTATTATTCTACTTAATTGTTTACATTTATATTTTTCTCAGTAAATTTTGATATAATATTGATATAAATTAATTTGATCCTCAGGATATCAAATTCAACATTGTTAATAATTATTAATTTTTATTTATTATAAATATATTTACGACAGAAAGGTAAGTATAACAATTCATAGTTAGTCACGGAGAACTATTACTTTAAAAATTATATACTTTACACAAAAGTTAAAATAAAAATAACCTTTTATTTTTCATAAAAATACCTTTATTTTCGTAAATAGTAAATATTATTCTCATAAAAATATACAATATAATTGCACACTTACCGACAGAAAAGATTCTAGCGATGCAAAATGTTCGCTGTCTTGAACTTGAAATTTTATTAGGCATGTACCTCATTAAAAATAAAATATGAAATTTTGTGAGATATTAAAATGAATTATGAGACATTAAGATGAATTTTTCCGACTTCAATACTAGGAATCCCTCTTATAGGACTATATTTTATAATTATACATCATCTTCACTCATTTGTCGTAATAACGTAAAATACGACATCGCTGTACTCAATATCTATTGCAAATATAAATAATATTATATTGTCATAATTATTTAGTAAGCGTAATTATTAAAAATACGTAAAAAAAATCAAGCAGAATAAATTAATTATGTAAAGATATTATAATTGTTTTAGCCAAAAAGTAGAAAAATATAAAAAATTTTCTTTTATAGGATGTTAGTTAAGTATGTTGTATCATACTCAACAGAGCGATTCTTTGTTTATTTCAAGTAAAAAAGTCCATATAAACATGTGTCCGATACGGCTTAGTTTCCAAAATAAAAAAATTTAAACGTGTAGTAATAATCTGTTTATTTAAAAGAAATACAGTTTGAACTAGTCAAAAACTAGACAAAAACAGAAAAACAAAGCCAGGCTTCAGTATGGCAACATACTTAACTAACACCCTGTATATTGTTTACAATTTATCTTATAGTTTTTCCTACACAGGTATCTAAGTAATTCGACTATCGAATAATAGTGGAATAATTCTTATATTTAAATATTTTAAATTTAAATTTTATTCTCTCTCTAGTACATTAATCCATGCAAAATTACCGGAAGAGTAGGAATCTAACAGCGTTTGATGGATCATTTTAAGAATTAAAAAACTTTTTAATTTAAAGTGCCATATGGAAAAGCTTATTAACGTAAAGGTTAATCTAAAAACTTAAATAAGAAAAGTGTCAGAAGTGCGAGATATGTATATATCCTTATCGACATATTTTACAACTGCGCAAAAATGTAAAATGCGAGTCGTGAGTGTAAAGCATTGCACGAAGAAATAACTGGCTCCGATAACGTTGCTTTTTACAACTAACAGTAAATAAATTTCTTTGAGAAAATTTTAAAGAGCCGTGTCATTTATTGCGTCGCACTTACCCCCATAAAAGTGTCCAAGGATATAACTGTAAAATTCCCAGCAGTTAATATGCATGGCCGACGTGCTCTAATCATAATCGTAATTAACCCTCTCTTTACTGCCCTTCCTAGATCGTTATCGGGTAAAAGATACCACTTAGAATTGTAAGCGGCATCAGAGATAGCTGTGCTTTGCACAATTATATCATTACACGTCCATGTATAAATAAGCAGCTGGATAAGACCGCCCACGAAATGAAAGGCAAAAATACACTTTCTGATAATCACATCTGTCGCCTGCAAACAAAAATGGCAGATTGAAAATTTTAAAAAACGTGATAATATTAATCCTTTTAGTGTAAAGTTTATATTATTTTTTTTTAATTTGATGTTTTTTACGATCATAAACATTTTCAGAAATTTTTCTAAAATTTTTAATTGCGCAAGTAGACTGATATTTATGTTTACAAATTACAAATGTTGGAAATAAATATAAGAGTTGAAGGATTCAATTTCATTTAAACGCAGAATTGAATTTATCAGATCTAATTGCCTTTCACTTTTGAGAAAACGCTGCAGTGGAAATATAATAGAGTTAACTGGCGAGTAAGCACAGCGGGACGTGAAATAAGGAGGCGATAAAATTCGAAAGCTCACGAGGAACTGAAATCCACCGAAGCAGATGACTACACTGGAAAGCAGCAACTGTCCGAGTAATATAATGGCGAACACGCGTTGCATGTTACGCACGTAACATATGAGCGTGAGGTGCTGCTTCACACAGTCTCGCAATTTTTTGAACATCAGAACTGCAACATCCGTTTTCAACGGACGTTTCTGGTCCGTCGTATCTCCGATACAATGTTCGGCAATGACTTCCACTTTATGAGCCAAGATTTTCAGCTGCGCGGCCGCGTGAATGTTGAACGTACTTACAAAATTATCAAAGCAAAAAGTACAGATACCCGAATGCATCGTCGAAAGTGACTACAAATATAACCAAAATAATGCGAATTAAATGTTTATATACAAAATTAAAAATGTTAATTTAAAATAATAAAAGTGATAGAGAAATTAACATATGCAGTGCAATCTTGAACTTTCAACTAACAATTGTTAATTTAAAAGAATACTTTTTTATATAATTAAATAATTTATTCTAACAAAAAAATTTTTTCTTTATTAGAAATGAATAAAAAATTTAATTAATTATCAATTGTATCAACAAAATTGTTAGTTATTAACATGAAATTAAATAAAACTCATCATTTTATACACTGTTTTATTACCTGTATAGTGTAAGTAATTTCGTAATACGGTGAATGATACGGAAAGTCGATCCACAGTTTGAAAGGTAAAACTTTCTCTGTTTCGTTCTTTTCTTGAGGCTCTATTACAAACAGCAAAGAAATATTTGACGCGCTGTACAGCGTCGTTTCACGTGGCAGTTTGAAAAGTAGCATTACAATTCGCCAGTATAGTGTAAGCGGAAAAGAAAATTATACCAAAGAAAGGTGCGAAGATGTAATTAAAAGTCGCGGTGTAAACCATAAATGTAAAAGTGTAGATCATAGTCATCCCTAGTTTGTCGTATTCTTCTAGAATTTGCGCGCTAGTCTCGTCGTAAGTGACACCCCAAAAATTCTTCTCAGCAAAATGAATCAAGTCCATTATCATGTCACGATAGAACATGAAACTACCTAATTTCACTAGTATCATTATCAAGAGCAACGTTGCACATAAGTTGGATGTGACAGCCTATGAGTAATAAAAGTACCAAGGATTAAATAAATCTTATCCCTCATATGAACATTCTGATGCTGCTGTGAGAATGCAAATTCATAAATAAACAGATAATACAAATAATTTCGCTAATGTTGTTATAACAGGCACGTTATTAGGAAAATAATTAATTAATTACATTAATGAAATTATTAAAAAGAGAGATTTGGTATTAAAAAAGTTGTAAGTATCAAAAATAAAAATTTTGCGGAAATAATAACATTAATGATGTTGGTTTCCTGTTTATTTGTTTAAGAAGTATTTGGCACATAACAGTTTTTATAAATATATGCTATAAATATTCTCACATATAACGTCAAATATTACTATAATATCTTATTAGTTTTAGCATAAAAAATTTTTTAAGATAGAATAAAATTATAAAAAACAAAATATGATATCTTACACTCTCTTTGACATGCA